GGCGGCCGCCTGGACAAAGCTGGGCATCTGGCGCACTTGTCGTCTGAGTGTCCCTAAACCCTAAACCCCAAACCCTAAACCCTAAAGGCCCTAAACCCTAAAGGCCCTAAACCTTAAACTCTAAGCCCTACAAGCCCTAAACCTCAAATCCCAAAACCCAGTTCCAGAGTTGAGGGCTTGAGGATTTAGACTTCAGGGATGTATGGTGTAAGCTGTAGGGTTATCTGTGCCAGCCAGGCGCTTTAGGCCTTCAGACGAAATTGCTGTAAGAATGTCGGGAAATCTCAAGTAGCAGTACACCTGCTCGGTGGTGAGGCCGTCCCCGCCCGACGCCAACAGCAGTGGATGCGGCTGGCGGCGGCGAAGGCACCCGTGGTGGGGTGGGCAGGCGAGGGTGAGCTGGAGGTCGTTCTTCACGGCTGCGGCTGCGGCTATCGTGCCGCCGCGTCTCCGGTGGAGTGACTGGGCTCGCCTCTGCCGGTACTCGGTCTTCTGGAGAAGGCCCCTTTGCACAAAGATCCAAGGTGAGAGCGGCGCGGAACAAGCCTATCGGTGCGTATGAGGGTGGCACAAAACCTAAAGATATGGGCCTACACAACGCTGGCCACAATCGTGGGGCCTACCCAAACCCCTTGCACCCAAAGCCCCCCAAATCCCCAAAACCCCACGACCCCTAAACTCTGAACCCTAAACAAACCCTTCGCCCTAAGCCCTAAGCCCTAAGCCCCAAGCCAAGCCCTAAGCCCTAAGCCCTAAGCCCTAAGGCCCTAAACCCTAAACCCTAAACCCTAAACCCTAAACCCTAAACCCTAAACCCTAAACCCTAAACCCTAAACCCTAAACCCTAAACCCTAAACCCTAAACCCTAAACCCTAAACCCTAAACCCTAAACCCTAAACCCTAAACCCTAAACCCTAAACCCTAAACCCTATCGGAGCCTCCGGGAGTTGATCTCGCCACAGGCCGCCCAGGGCGCTGAGGCGCGCGCTGCACAGCGAGGAGGGCTCGCCGCCCTTGGAGGGTTTAGGGTTTAGGGTTTAGGGTTTAGGGTTTAGGGTTTAGGGTTTAGGGTTTAGGGCTAGGATTCAGGGTTTAGGGTTTAGGGGTTTAGGGGTTTAGAGGTTTAGGGGTTTAGGGGTTTAAGGGTGTTGGGGTTTGAGGGTTTAGGGTTTGGGATTTAGGGGTTCCGGGTTGGGGGGTTTAGGGTCTCGGGCGGATTCCCATGAAAGGAAGGGCTCCGGGCTCTGGAGGTTTAAAGGTTAAGGGCTTCAGGGTTCAGGGATCTAGTTTTTGAGGAGGCTTTTGCTCCTAAACCCTAAACCCTAAACCCTAAACCCTAAACCCTGAACCCTCAACCCTAAACTCTTTGGGGGGTGTAGAAGACCTAAGTGCAGAGGCCAAGTGGCCATTAAGCGTCCGGTTCGGCCATCCAGAATCTCGGGTGCCTCCCAGGATAGGTGTGGGCCACGTAAGGGCTCTATAGGGTTTAGGGTTTAGGGTTTAGGGTTTAGGGTTTAGGGCTTAGGGTTTAGGGTTTAGGGTTTAGGGCTCTAAGCCCTTCAATTCTGGTGCCGTAAGCAAAGCCTCAACCTCAGGGGTTCGGGGTTGAGGGTTTGACCCTAACCCTAAACCTTAGCCAACAAGCACCCTAAAAACCCAAAACCCTAAAATGAGCCACAAACCCCTCAACAACGCCAAATCCTCAACCTCGAAACCACTAAGCCCTAAGGCCCTCAACCCCAAACCCTAAACCCTAAACCCCAAACCCCAAACCCTAAACCCTAAACCCGATGGCCTCATCGCCTCGGGCCCAGGCCAGGCAGCGCGGGTCCCGGAAATCGGCGCCCGCGCCGTCCTGCTCGCCCAAAATGGGGGGTTTCCGAAAACAGGGGTGCCCGTTTTTTAGGGTTTAGGGTTTAGGGTTTCTTAGGGTTTAGGGTTTAGTCTATTCTATTTGGGGTATAAACGGGGTACCCCAATTTGGGAAAATGCCCAGATGAAGACAGGGCTTGGGGCCTGGGGTTTAGGGTTTAGGGGTTCAGGGCTTGGGGTTGGGGGTTTGGGGTTTCGGGTTTGCAGGTTAGGGTTTAGGGATTCGGTTGTAGTGCTTGGGGTTTAGGGTTTGGGGGGTTGGTGGGTTTAGGGTTGAGGGTTTAGGGTTTAGGGTTTAGGGCTCCCAAGTTTAGAAACCCGACTAGACGTTAAACACCCGAAAGCCCTGAGGCTGAAAAGTACCCAACAGGTTCAGGGGGTCTTGGGGCTTTGAGGGCTTCGGGTTTTGGGGAGGCTTCAGGGAACTACAAGGTTGAGCCCGAACCCTGGGTTCAGGGTTTAGGGTTTAGAGTTTTTTTATAAGACAACCGGGATTTTAATAAAACCGATAAACTTTTAAACACCAAACCTGCTCTTGTTTCCTCACGCGCGAGAGATTTTCATGAACACCCAATTCGCGAGTTACGAGTTGACAAACATTTAGCTGGCAAATCCAAGCTATACAGAACTCCTAGCCTTGTTAAGATCTAGGGGTGCGGGGTGGGGGTTGAGAGTTGGCTGGTGATAAAAACCTAAAAAGCCCATGACAACACTAAGAGAGCCCTGTTAACCCCAGACTTGTTCCGCGCGACTGCAGGGCACCTCGTACGTGCCCTCGTCGAACTTCACACTGCAGCCCAGCCTTCAGGTCAAGCTTTACTTCGCGGTATCGACCCCCGCAGCCTCAAGATACAAGAAGCCCGAAGCCCTAAACATCCTAAGCCCTATACATGATAAACCCTAAACATCCTAAACACTAAGCACTCTCAACCTAAACCCTAAGCCCTACACAAAATGCCACCACTAAGGTACCCTTAGGCTCTTATTCATAGGGGAGCAGGGTCGTTCAAGCTCTGTAGCGCAGAAGCACAGAACCTAGTGTGAGTCCTAGATGTTTAGGGTTTGGGTAGGGCTTAAGGGTTTAAGGCTTTAAGGTTTTAAGGGTTCAAGGGTTTAAGGGTTTAAGGGTTTAAGGTTTTAAGGGTTCAAGGGTTTAAGGGTTCAAGGGTTTAAGGGTTTGAGGGTGCAAGGGTTTGGGTTCAAGGTTTAGGGACCTTGACGCCCATTTCACTGAAAAGCCTGCGACCCCTGCTGGCTGTTAAGTGGCAAGTCCAGGTGCTGCAGGCCGTAACCCCGGGGCAACTCCTGGGTTTGGGGCTTTAGGCTTTAGGCTTTAGGCTTTAGGCTTTAGGGTTTAGGGTTTAGGGTTTAGGGTTTAGGGTTTAGGGTTTAGGGTTTAGGCTTTAGCTCACCTCTTTTGGCGGCTCGGGGCTGTGGTTTTTCTTGAAAGTCTGGAGTTCAGCTCTTGAGCCTGGGACCCTAAACCCTAAACCCCCTAAGCCCCTAAAGGGTTTAGGGTTTAGGGCTTAGGGCTCAGTGTTTAGGGTTTAGGGGTGTAGGGTGTGAGGTTCAGGGTTTGTACATGGATGAATCTGTTCGCCTCGGCGTGAGAAAAACCGAGCCGCCCTCTACCCGTGGCCCGCGCATGCTCTGCGCTCCTCTATCACCCTAAGCCCCCTAAGCCCCCCAAGCCCCCTAAACCCCCTAAACCCCCTAATTTCCCTAAATCCCCTCAACCCCCTCAACCCCCTAAACCCTAAACCCTAAACCCCAAACCTAAAACCCTGTGTCTGGGCTGTCAAGGCTGCTCTCTTCTTCCCTGGCAACAAGCTTTGAATCTCATACTCCCTGGGCGACTCTGAGCTTGAGTAGCTTAGGGTTTAGGGTTTAGGGTTTAGGGTTTAGGGTTTAGGGTTTAGGGTTTAGGGTTTAGGGTTTAGGGTTTAGGGTTAGCCCCAAAAAAGTGTGCACTTTCAGTTCTATAGGGGATTAGAGTATCCCAAAAAGTGTAAAGTGTACTCCCTCAGCTACTAAGATATTTAGGGATGCTACGGTTGAGGGTCATTGGGGTTTAGGGTTTATGTTCATTAGGGTTTAGGGGTATTGAGGGATTTTAACGCTTGGGGTCATTAGGGTTTAGGATTTAGGGTCATTCGGGTTTAGGCATTCTAGGGTTAAACCCTATTAGGGCTTAGGGCGGTTTTTTTTCGCTGATCTAAACGATTTTTTTTTGTGCTTTTTTTTTTTTTTTGGGGGGGGGGGGGGGGGAGAGGCCCGAAAGCCCCAAAACCTTCATGAGAACAGCAGGGTTTAGGGTTTAGGGTTCAGGGTTCAGGGTTCAGGGCGGATCTAAACAACCCTGAGCCCTAAGGCCCTCAAAGCTTGCGAAGCCCGTAGGCTTTCGTCGGTACGAACCTAGAAAGAAGATCTCAGGGTCATCAGGGCTTAGGCTTCTTGGGGTTATTGGGGTTTGGGATTTGGGTGGTCCATTGGAAAGTTGAGGGCATTTCGGGCCCTGCGCCCGCAACCGAAGCTTCAGCAGGAGCCCCAAACCCTAAACCTAAACCCTAAACCGATAAGAGTTTTAGCGTTAGCAGATCGAGTTTGAGCTGGGCTGCAGGGGTTTAGGGTTTAGGGTTAAACCCCTTGCACCTGGAGGCTCTCTGGCGTGAAGTTCTGCAGCCGGCAGCACAGGGCGCGGGCGGCGTGCGGCCAGGAGAACTTTCGGCCGATCTGCGGAATTGTGCAGTTCAAGGGCTTTGAGGGCCTTTGAGGGCCTTTGAGGGCTGTCCTGGGTTTAGGGTTTAGGGTTTAGGGTTTGGGGTTTAGGGTTTAGGGTTTAGGGTTTAGGGTTTAGGGTTTAGGGTTTAGGGTTTAGGGTTTTGGGTTTAGGGGGTTCAAAGGTTTAAGGATTTGGGGTTATGTCAGGGTTTTAGATTCTAGAGGGTGTTAAAGCCTGCCTAGACTTTCAGAGTCTAGGGGCCGAGGTCGTTCAGTCTTCTGCGTTGTCAGGGAATTGAGGCTCAAGGCCTTACATCAAAAGATTAAACGCAAAACTAACCTAACAAGTTTTTCACCGAGCCGGAAGCCGTGGACTTCGCAACGTCACGGAACTAGGGCGAGGTGATTCCTTGAGCAGCTGTTCGTGGCCGCAGATATTCCCATGGCTGTTCGAGTGAGGCAAAGGTGCTCTCTCACGCAGTCTTTTGCGCTGCAGCCTCATCCAACTCGAGCCGCCGCAGCCAGGGAGCATTTCCCTCCAGCCACAAAGGCTTCAGCGACCGACCCCCGTACCCTGGGTTTAGGGTTTAGGGTTTAGGGTTTAGGGTTTAGGGTGTAGGGTTGAATGTCCGCCAGCGCTCTCCGAACTTCAGGGAAGTCGAAGAGAAGTGAGCCGGTTTCTCCAAGACAACGAAGCAGCCTGCCAAATGGACATTGATTCACTTGCCCAACATGACCCCTCCCCATTTGATCCAATCTCCTCTCTCCGGGGATGTTCCGCTTCCCGCTGAGAACATGATGGCATGACAGGACGAAAATCACAAAAAGTCCTAGTCTTATGACTATACGATAAGTACCCGCTTCTTCCGGTGACAAGAGTAGTCCGCATGAACGGCAGCTTGTCGAGCTCTTCCCAAACCTTAGCCCCTTAACTTTGCAGGTCAGGGCAAGCCCATTAAAAACACCGCATGAAATAGTCATGCCATCGGATTAGATGGGCTCTGTTGGCTTCACTTTTGAACTTTGAGAGAGGTTCTCGGGTTATTGGGACACCCGAAACCCTAAACCCTAAGCCCCCCAAACCCTAAACCCTAGACCCCTAAACCCTAAACTCCAAACCCTAAACCCTAAACTCCAAACCCTAAACCCAAAACCCTAAACTCCAAACCCTCAAGCCTAAACCCCGGAAAGGGGAGGGTTGAGGGCCGGGCCGTGCAGGACGACAGGCGAAGAGGCTCCACGCCGGCGCTCAGCGTGTGCCCTTGGTGGCCAAGCGTCTATGGGGAGGGTTTAGGGTTTAGGGTTTAGGGTTTAGGGTTTAGGGGTTTGTGGTTTAGGGTTTAGGGTTTAGGATTTGGGGTTTGGGGTTTAGGGTTGTGGGGTCTAGGAGTCTAGGGTTCAGGGTTTGGGGTTTAGGGGTCTGGGGGTTAGGGTTTTCGTGTCTAGGGTCTGGAGTTTTAGGGTAAGGCTTTAGGGCTTTTAGCGTTTAGGGTTTTAAGGCTGAGGGTTTAGGGCTTTAGGTTTCGGGGTCTAGGGTTTGGGGTTTTCGGGTTTTGTGGCTTCGTTGGGTTTAAGGCGTAGGACTTTAGGGCGTAGGGTTTAGGGTTTAGGGCTGAGGGTTTGTCGGCTTCGCTTCGAGGCGCGAATTCGCCCCTCTAGGTGCATCATCACCCTGCCGTATTCAGCACGAACGAAGCTCCCTAGCTCCCACTTGCACCCTTTACCCTCCGCCCTATACTCCTGCACCTCAAGCCCTGAATGATAAAACAAAAACCACGAAAGACCGAAAAAAGAACAAACCCCTAAAGCCCTTCAAACCCTATATAAAACCACCCAAAAAGCATGAGCCCTGAAAACAACCACAAAAAACCGAACCCCAATCCCCGAAACCCTAAACCCCAAACCCAAACCCCAAACCCCAAACCCCAAACCCCAAACCCCAAACCCTAAACCCGGAACCCGTAACCTAAGGGATATTCCACACCCCCCAGGTGCCTCCCAGGCCCAAGGAGGCCCAAATGGCGATCTTGTCGCTGCAGGTGAGGGGGCCCTGGCGGGAGGGCTGAGGGGGTTTAGGGTTTAGGGTCTAGGGTTTAGGGTTTAGGGTTTAGGGTTTAGGGTTAAGGGTCTTCGAGGGATCTCCCCACAGAAGCAGAGGGCTGAGGGGTTTAGGAGTTTAGGGTGTTTGGCAGAGGCTGATAATCGTCTACCTGAGATGTCGAGGCAGAGGGTTTAGGGTTTAGGGTTTATGGTTTAGGGTTTATGTAGTTTAGGGTTTATGTGGTTTAGGGTTTATGTGGTTTAGGGTTTATGTTGTTTAGGGTTTAGGGATTAGGGTTTAGGAGGAACAAGGCATGTGAAGGCTGTTCATTCATTCGCGGCATTACACCGTTGGTAGGGGGCGGGGGGGTTCCAATGAAGGTAGGTAGCCTAGTGATCCCGACCACCGCTCCCTTGTCCTCCGCATGCTCCGTAAAAAGTCCCTAAGGTTCTGCGCTGTAGCTACTTCCCACCCTTGAAAAGTCCTGACATATACCCCAAAGCCGAAACCCAGAAATCCTAAACCCTCAACCCCTAAGGCCAAAAAGTCCTAAACCCTAATCCCTAAACCCTAGACCCTACACCCTAAACCCTAAACCCTTAAACCCTTAAACCCTAAACCCTAAACCCTAAACCCAAAACCCAAAACCCGAAACCCTAAACCCTAAACCCGAAACCCGAAACCCTAAACCCTAAACCCTAAACCCTAAACCCTAAACCCTAAACCCTAAACCCTAAACCCTAGGAACGGATCCAGAGCCTGCTTTGCACCCCAGGCTCCGAGAAACCTCGGAGGGTGTTCAGGCTGTCTTTCGGTCTTCGGGTGCTTTCTACTAGTTTAGGGTTTAGGGTTTAGGGTTTAGGGTTTAGGGTTGGGCCTTATACTAACAGGCCTAGTAGGGATTATAGTACCCCCGATGAGAATCCCTATGAAGGACTGTTAGGAAAGGGGGAACATCCCAACCTTCAGCCATGGCCCGAGACCCCAAGAACCCAAAACCCTAATCCCAAAATCCTGCGAATCGAGCCCTAGAGTCGCCTCGAACTAACTCTTAAGCTCTTAAGCCCTCAAACCCTTGATTGTGCAAAGCCCTAAACCATTCTATAAACCCTTAAACCAGTATCTCAACCCTTAAACTCATACCCTTGTACAAAGCCCTGAACTATTCTATAAGCCCTTAAAGTATCTCAACCCTTCAACTCAAATAGCCCTTAAGCCCTCAAACCCTGACAGCCCTAGGCGCTGGGTGCCGACAGGTGTGTCGGCATCTGGTGCAGATGCCGAAGCCTGTGCAAGATTTCCACTCCCCGGGGGCTGAAGGTGAGGGGTTTAGGGTTTAGGGTTTAGGGTTTAGGGTTTAGGGTTTTGTCCGCTTTCATTCTGGACGGTAGGGTTGTTTAGGGTTTAGGGCTTCGAGTTGAGGCCTTCTGGGTGTGAGGGCTTCAGAAGCTCGAGGCCTGAAAAAACGACTAATCAACAAGCCCACGCGAACCCCACATGCTAGAAAGCACCCTTTCGCTCGACGTGGGAAGGGATCTGTTGACATGGGCACCCTAATTAAGCCCGAAGCCCTAAACCCTAAGCCCTAAGGCCTAACCCTAAACCCTCAGCGAAGCCCTAAATCCGAAGCCCTAAGCCCTAAACACAACAATTACACTCACAGCAATACGTGCCTAAGGCCCTAAACCTGGAACCCTAAGCCCTAAATCCAACAATTACGGTTTAGGGTTTAGGGTTTAGGGTTCAGGGTTCAGGGTTTAGGGTTTAGGGTTTAGGGTTTAGGGTTCGGAACCCTGAGAGCCCCAAACCCTATATACGCTCACCAGCACCAGTGATATGGACCCTATGGACCCGGAACCCTGAACCCTAAACCCTAACCCATATGTATATGGCCAGATCTCTAAAAAACCGGTATTTTGGGTGCCCTGAATTACGGGAGGGACATACACAGGAACATGCATCTCTAAACTATTGCAAGCCTTACTTAAGCCTTCTTTTGCGCCGCTTCTTAAATCCTGAACCCTAAACCCTAAACCCCAAACCCTACCTCAGAATATCGATGACCTCCTGAAACTTCCATGTGGCTGAGGCCTTGGTCAAGAAGGAGGCTTGCCCCTCGTGGCGTGCCTTGAGGCTGAGGGGTTTGGGGGGGTTTAGAGTCCCTCAACCCTAAATTAAAAGCCTAAATCCTAAACCATAAACCGAACCCTAAACCTTAAACGCTAAACCATAAACCCTAAACCCTAAACCCTGAATCCTAAACCCCAAACCCTAAACCCTAACCCCAGATCCTACACCTCAAACCCTGTTCAAGGATTTGGGGTGGGGCCTTGTGGCTCCTGGCTTCCACAGAACAAGTGCACCCCCCCCCCCCCCCCCCCCCCCCCCCCCCCCCTTTAGGGTTTAGGGCCAGGGTTTAGGGTTTAGGGTTTGGGGTTTGGGGTTTGGGGTTTGGGGTTTGGGGTTTGGGGTTTGGGGTTTGGGGTTTACGGTTTAGGGCCGAAAGCAGAACTAGGGGGGGACTAGGGTGTGCGACTGCGCATGCCAGAAAACGTTTTAGAGCTGAGGGGAGGGAGGGTTCGGGGCTTGTGCTCAAGAAAGCTTTCGTCTGGTCCAGGGCTGTACTTAGTTGTCCAGTACCTAGGGGTTTTAAAGGTTAACCTTTGGGATTCTAAGGGGAATCTACTAACCCAAAAAGGTTAAAGGTTACCTACTCTACTACTAAGTGTAGGCTTCGGAGTGCCGGATCTGGGTCTTAAACGCTTCAGGCTTGGTGGACCTCAGGGTACACCACCCTAACTCTGCTTAGTTTGGGATAGTCAAGGCTGAGTGTTTAGGCATTGTTTAGGGATTAGGGTCTAGTTTTTTTTTTTTTTTTTTGGGGGGGGGGGGGGGGGTTAGGGTTTAGGGTCAGGGTCTAGGGTTTAGGGCTAAGTTGTTTTAGGGTTTAGGGTTTCTAACTAGGGTTTATAATTAGGGTTTATAGTGAGGGTTTAAAATCAGGGTTTATAATTTAGGTTTATAATTAGGGTTTAGGGAAAATAATTGGGGTTTAGGGTCGACGAGTTGCGTGGAGATGTATCTTTGGATGCAGCTGCTTTGGCCACACCGTCGTTGCCTCCATGTCGATCTTGGGGCACGTGCCTCGCTGCTTCGGAGTGGGAGCCAAGGCCATGAACACCCTAAACCCTAAACCCTAAACCCTAAACCCTAAACCCTAAACCCTAACCCTAAACCCTAAACCCTAAACCCTAAACCCTAAACCCTAAACCCTAAACCCTAAACCCTAAACCCTAAACCCTAAACCCTAAACCCTAAACCCTTCCGAGCTGCTTCCTCCCTTGGCCCAGCGCTTCCAGGAGGCATTGCCGCAGGGCACCGAGGTGGTGTAGAGGTGCAGGGAGGTGTCCTGGTTGTTATACTACTGGTGCCCCCTTTTTTGGGTTTAGGGTTTAGGGTTCAGGGTTCAGGGTTGAGGGTTGAGGGTTGAGGATTGAGGGTTGAGGGTTTAGGGCTTAGGGTTTAGGGCTATAATGAGGGTACCCTTTCTTGGCGGTTGGTTGCTTTATATCGTAACCTTGAACCACAAGCAAAGGGAAAAGGGTACTCACTGGACTACCAAGTTTATAGGGGTTCTCGGGAATAACGGGATTACAACGGGTTTACAAGATTTATATATAGGGTTTAGAAGGATTAAAGGGATTATGGGGCTTATAAACCCGAAACCCTAAACCCTAAACATAGGGATTATGGGGTTTATAGCGATTTGTCCTGGTTCAGGGGTGTTGCCCCTTTAGCCCATCAGGGTTGAAGGGATCATAGGGATTGTAGAGTTAATAGCGGGAGTATAGGGATTTTTGGGATTGAGGGTTCACCCTAAACCCTAAACCCTAAACCTTAAACCCTAAACCCTAAACGCTGGTAACCCTAAACCCCAAACCCCAAACCCTGCGGGCTTGAGTTTCGGGAGGTCCAGGGCTTGCCCTCAAGGTGCAGGCTTGTGATTTCTGGGGTCCGGCCCTCACCGGTCTGGATATATATGGTTTTATGGCTGAGGTTTATGGGTTTAGACCTAAACCCTAAACCCTAAACCCTAAACCCTAAATAAACCCTAAACCCTAAACCCTTAAAACTCATTAAAGTCTTGGGCCTTCCCTACTGAAAACTTGGCAGCGTAGGGAGGCGGGGACCTCTGTTCATGCGGGGTTTGGGGTTTAGGGTTTAGGGTTGAGGGTTTAGGGTTTAGGGTTTGGGGTTTAGGGTTGAGGGTTTAGGGTTTAGGGCTTGGAACGGGCTTAGGGTCTGGGGTCGAGGGTTTGGGAATCTGCGGATGCCCTGGTGTGTCCTCTCGCAGCGCAAGCCTGTCCTAAGATGGCACAGAACACGACTCAACGCTTTAGGATTTGGGGTGGGGGGCCCGTGACCGTGAAGGTTTATCGCTGCCCAGAGAGGGCCCCTAACCCTTTCATACAGCCTATACTTCACTTGAAAAGACACATGCGTGCTTCAACGCCTCCTACAAACCCAACTCCTGCAGCCCCCTTAGCACCCAACTGCTCGTAATGACATACTTCAGACTGCCAAAAACAGGCTAGAACGTCTGGGACCCTGAGCCATGAACCATGGTGAAATGAAGGAATACGCAACCCTAAACCCAAAACCCTAAACCCCAAACCCTAAACCCTAAACTGGCGCCAAATGTTTCACTACGTAGCTATTTCATGGACCCCTGTGGAACGGCATGCTCAACCTGAAACCCTCAACCCTGAACCATAACCCTTAAACCCAAAAAACCCTAAGCCCGAAGCCCTGCACACCAAACCCTAAACCCTCAACCCAACACCCTACCCCCTAAACCCTACAACTCAAAAACCCAAAAACCCAAAAACCCCAAAACCCCCAAAACCCCAAAAACCCAAAAACCCCAAAACCCCCAAACCCCCAAACCCAAAACCCCAAAACCCCAAAACCCCAAAACCCCAAAACCCCAAAACCCCAAAACCCCAAAAACCCAAAAACCCAAAAACCCAAAAACCCAAAAACCCAAAAACCCAAAAACCCAAAAACCCAAAAACCCAAAAACCCAAAAACCCAAAAACCCAAAAACCCAAAAACCCGAAAACCCAAAAACCCAAAAACCCAAAAAACCCAAAACCCTAAACCTTAGCTGCTGAGTTCATAAGCCCCCAAAAAGTGCACACTTTCAGTCCTATAGGGGACTATAGTATCCCAAGAAGTGTAAAGTGTACTTTCTCAGAAACTAAGAAACCCGAATCCGGTTTAGGGTTTAGGGTTTAGGGTTTAGGGTTTAGGGTTTAGGGTTTAGGGTTTAGGGTTTAGGGTTTAGGGTTCAGGGTTCAGGGTTCAGGGTTTAGGGTTTAGGTTGCAGCAGAAGCTCGGGTGCGGTGCGCGCCAGGAGCGTACCCTCCTCGCCGTCGATGCAGCGCCGGAGGTCCTATCATGGGTTTCCCTACTAACCCCCTCGATAAGGGTTTAGGGTTTAGGGTTTAGGGTTTAGGGTGTAGCACGGGTCAGCTGAACGCAGTAGTATGCAGACAAGCCCACCCCAAGGCCACCCTATCACAACTCAAAACGAAACCAAGCCGGAACCAGCCAAACCAAAGCCAGCCCACCTTCAAACACTTTTGCGTCCACCACTGTACTTCAGACTACTACCTAATATGCTTTCCGATGTCATGGAGCTTGCCTATGAAGATGCCCTGCTACCAGGTAACATTTAAGAAGATGTTTCGAGAAATGCATGGCAAAAGGCTTGTTGCTCCAAAGAGACCTTGTGAACTTCCGAAAGAAAAACCAGGTTTTGCGTTGGGGGAGATTGTCAAGGCTGCGTGGCAGCCACCCCCCCCCCCCAAATTGATTTCGAGGGGGGCTGCATGGAGAAGGCCTGTTTTAAAGATGCCGTGTGAAGGTCATGAGAAAATCAGGGCCTTCTCATTGTTTCTATTCGCTTTGCCGGAGTGTCAAGGCTGGGTGGCCTGGTGTTCTAAAGATACCGTGCGCAGGTCATGTCTAGAAGCTTCCACGAGAAAAACCTGGTTTGACGTTGGGCCAAAAGGCTTGTTGTTCCAAAGATACCGTGCGAAGGTCATGTCTAGAAGCTTCCGAGAGAAAAACCAGGTTTGCGTTGGGGGACGTCTCCGAAAGAAAAACCAGGTTTTGCGTTGGGGGACGTCTTTGGCCGGAGGGCCTGCGCATTGTTTCTATATACTATTCGCTTTGCCGGAGTGTCAAGGCTGTGTGGCAAAAGACCTGTTGTTCTAAAGATACCGTGTGAAGGTCATGTCTAGAAGCTTCCGAGAGAAAAGCCGGGTTTGACGTTGGGGGAAGGCCCGGGCCCGAAGGGTATCCTGTAAAGGCCCCGGCCCCCCCCCCCCCAAATTGACTTCGGAAGGAAGGGAAAGGCCCGGCCAGCCCCTAAAAGGGGGGGTATCCGGTTTGAAGTCCCGGGCAGCCTCCCCTCAATTATCCGGCAATTGAATTCGGATAGGGGGGGGGGGGTATCCTTGTCAAAGGCCCGGCAGCCCCCAAATTCACTTCGGATGGGGGGGGGGGGTATCCGTTTTAAAGCATTGACCCCCCCGACAATTGAATTCGGATAGGGGGTCCCCCCCGCAATTGAATTCGGATAGGGGGGGCGGTATCCTGGTTAAAGGCCCGGGCAGCCCCCAAATTGACTTCGGATAGGGGGGGGGGGCGTCATAGGGGGTGGTGGTTTCCGTTTTAAGGCCCGGGGGCCCCCCCGCAATTGAATTCGGATAGGGGGGGGGGGGTATCCTTGTCAAAGGCCCGGCAGCCCCCAAATTCACTTCGGATGGGGGGGGGGGTATCCGTTTTAAAGCATTGACCCCCCCGACAATTGAATTCGGATAGGGGGTCCCCCCCGCAATTGAATTCGGATAGGGGGGGCGGTATCCTGGTTAAAGGCCCGGGCAGCCCCCAAATTGACTTCGGATAGGGGGGGGGGGGTATCCGTTTAGGGGCGGCGCCCGCCGACAACAGAAAAATCTAGGGTTTAGGGTAATAATATATATATATATATATATATCATAGGGACTATGCTAGGCGACTCTAGCTTGGCGACCCCTCAGGGGTGTGCCTGCAGGCTCTGCAGCTCCAGCAGAGCCTGCGAAGGTCTCGCTGGCGCTCGACAGCGCCCACTCACCCACACATAAAAAGGGGTGGTGGGCGGGTTTAGGGTTTAGGGTTTAGGGCTATACCCCCCCTCCCCCCCCGCCCCCCCCAGGTCCCCCCCTTAAATAACCTTAATCCGGCGTTTTGGGTTTAGGTTTTAGGGGTACTACCCACCTCTAAATTAAATTACCTCCCCCCCAGGTTCAACTATGGGGGCAACCTAGGGGGGGTAGTACTTGGAGGTTCATGCTACTTATTGACCCATCATAAGTGTTGCTATAACCCACTTATAAGCCCCCTGAGTGCCCCAATATGGTTCTAAGTACAGCTATGCGTACTGTTATAGTTGGCTCATAAGTACCATGAACCTCCAAGTATAGAGGGCGTGGCAGGACCCTTCCACAGCTAGAGTCCCAAAACCCTGAGCCCTAAACCCGAAACCACGACCCCCACAGCTTCTCCCCTCGGACATTGAGTCCCTGACCCGTCCTTGTGCAAAAACTTCTTCAAGGCTCGGCGCGCAAGGACCTGTAGGCGGCCAAGCTGAGGGGGGTTAGGGCTGAGGCTCATACTTGGAGGTTCGTGGTACTGATTTACCCATTATAAGTGTAGTTATAACCCACTGATAAGCCCCTTAGATGCTCGAATACCGCTATAAGTACAGTTCTAAGTACAGTCATAATTGGTTAATAAGTACCATGAACCTCCAAGTACTGCTAAATTCCCCAGCTTAGCAAGAAGCCGCAACGAAACCAAAGAGCTACACTACCTGCCAGCCTGAACTATAGCATTTCGGACGGTGGGAAGGAGGCCGCACCAACCGCAAATGCTTGATGGCCCCAACAGATTAAGACTCACATCACAAACTCAATCTGAAGAACCGTAAATCCGGTGAGGGTTTAGGTTTTAGGGTTCAGCAGGAAGGTTCTGGAACCGAACCGGAACCGCACGAACCGAACCGCCACGAACCGAACCGCCAAAACCGGCCAGCAAACACGAACCGTAGGAACCGCGAACCGCAAGCGAACCGAAAACCGGAACCGTTTCGACAGCGAACCGGTTTCGGCCAGGAGCCCAAGTCAAATAGAGCATGATACTGAAAGGTTTGGGTCCCTCCAAACTTGTTTTGAAACAATCAAACTGTCGCAAAAACATGACTCGGTTCTCGGCTAACCCTCCAAAATTGAAGGGTCTTGGAGGTGCAAGGCTTGAAG